GGGTAATTCAAGCAAACATAACCTGCAATCTTGTTTTGAACATTTTCGAACAAACGAAACAAGAACAAGAACAAGACAGCTATCGCTCATCACATCAGTCAGTCCCACTAGAGTGGAGTGGGAGTAGAATTCGCAGCAGGGCAGCCAACTGAAACGTTTGTAGACGAAAAGAAAAGATAGATAATTTAAATAACAAATAAACCACTTTATAATTAGCCTATATTTAAAATATACATTTAAAATGTTATATGGGCTTGCGATTGGAACTTAAATTCCCAAGAAAATTTAAATAAAATGACAATTTTTTGTCATTTTATGAATCCGATATATCGGACCCAAAAACATCGATGTCTCCGATACTATCGGGAAGAATTTGTCGATGGCAATATATCGATATATCGGGGCCAGAATATCGATGTTTCAATAATATCGATATATCGTTGCCATCCCTAGAAGCAGGAGCAGTGGCCTGAGCAATTAGGCAGAAGACGGACGCCCGACTCTACACGCCAAGTAAGTGGACGCCATTCGCCATTCGCCGTTGTTAATATCCTAGGGCGCCTAGGATAACTCGACCTCACTCGCTATCGTTTATTTCCTGTTAATTAATTACGCTATTTAGGTCAAACGTCCGCGGGAAGTTTCGTCTTAAATTTAATTGAATTATTAACAGAGATCGATTTATTTAAACCGGTGAATATCTTTATCGTTTTACTATAACATAGAGTGTTATCTGTTTTGTTAAAATAGCTCTGTAAATATATAACGATCAGCTTTGATTTTTGGAATATCTTAATTTCGTTCAATACATAATTTATAGACCGTGAGTTCAAAGAAGTAACGGTCAGAACGAGATCCGCCCGGTTATAATTCCTTTCTGTTTTAATTGTGTTGTTTTATTTGTATTGTTTAAATCTATTCAAGTTCGATCGGTTTCGGTCACGCAAGGTGGCTTTTCATATTCGTGTGTTTTTTTTTTTGTTTGCTTTGTTTATCGCGTAGGTCCGTGAGAACACGGTGTTACCGGTACCTAAATATAATGTGTGGTGTTTAGTTTGTAGTCAATGTTGTTCGTAATTACTGTAGCAGCACTTCAGCTGTGAGGTATTTTATCTATGGGAATAAGAGTTAATTAATAGTGGATTTATTAGAGTGATTTCAATACTTTGTTGGCTTCTTTACTAACTAACACGCTTTAATTTGTTTGTACATATTTCAGAACTACACTAACCATTGTAGCTATTCATTATCTTTTACACTAGAACCAGTGCACAGTAGTTATGTTCTATGTCGTTGCTTAGCCGCTATTAACTGTTAATGTTCTAGGTAGTTGCTTTACTATTCTTTACCATATTTACCACTTCATTATTAATTATTCATTTAGCCTTCCACTAATTATTGATGTGTTGAACCATAAGCATTTAAATATTCTAACTTATGACACGACACCGCTACTAACACACTAACCTTAGAAATTGCTTCAAATCTTAGCATAACGCTTAACCTTGCTTAACCTTTGACTATCAATGCTTAACTAAGGCTTTGGGAAAACTGATTGGTTTTGGGAGTTTTAATTCGCCGTGACGTTAGACAGTTAAGCCCCAACTTCTCTTTCCATTCTTTACCATTTCCTTGATTCCTGGACTGTTGCTAATTGAGTGATCTGTGTATCGTATGTGTTGTGTGTGTGCAGCTGACTGCTTTGGTTAGCTGTAGTTTGCTAAGTAGCTTTTCTTCTTTCTCTATTACTTCGGGCACACCGGAAATAAGTTAGATTTAATTAGCACTTAAGCTCTTAGCTATAAGTCTTCTACTCTATCACTTTATGACTATGAATGTTTGTTGCTTGCCACAAGCTTTTCTTCTTTCTCTATTACTTCGGGCACACCGGAAATAAGTTAGTTATAAGTTAGCTTTAACCTATTCCGGAAAACCCGGAAATAAGTTAGTTATTAGCTAGATTTAATCTATTCCGGAAAACCCGGAAATAAGTTATTTATAAGTTAGCTTTAATTACTTCGGGCACACCGGAAATAAGTTATTTATAAGTTAGACCTAAGCTATCCCGGAAAATCTGGGAATAAGTTAGTTTCTAGTTAGACTTAACCTATTTGAAATAAGTCTTTGTGTGCTCAACCTGTCTGTGTGTATGTGTGTGTGTGTGTCTCGTATGTTATTCTTTCTATAACGATCCTTCTCCGCCCTACTCTGTATGTTCGTTTGCACCTTTCCATATTCCTACTCTCTCACGGGGCTTTGAACTAGTCCACTCGCCCGAAACGCATTGTATTATTTTAAATAATAAAGACGCATCTAAACTAATTCTGCTCGGTCCGTGGCGCATGGACTTAGGGTAGTGAATTAAATCAATGAATAATTGTCACTCCACCGAGGAGGTTGTGAACAGAGTCGCGCACGAAGCTATAACTTCGAAACAAAATCTCGCCCTTCCCTCTTTTATTCACTCGTTTCCTGGCAATGATGAGGCACGAATAAAGCCAAGAGGCAAAATATTCCCGCCTGAGCCAGGAAAACGACTTTAGGATACAAAAGCGGGAAACCCGACCAAAATTGACCCCCGGAATAACCCAGCTCGGCTAGGCTATCAGGGACGCGTAACGCCCCGACCCGAGAAATTAAGGAAACACACCCGGAAGCGGGTTACAATATATTGAATTCAAAAGAAGTGGTCTGGTGACGAAGTAAATTGTCGATCCCCCTTTGATGGCAAGCCAAACAGGGACACATATCTTACTACGATATTACAATCTAATTTTGTCTCTCTACCCGAAATTTTGTTACAAAATTCTGAATAAAGCATTATATCTAATTCTTGTACTTAGTGGCGTTCTATGAATTTTATATGTTTCCATAATTTGCAAATCGGTACTTTTAATGATTGCTCAAGAAATACAGTACTGTGTCAATTCAGTTTCTTATTTTGTGAAATATATCAAATTGCCCAGGCTTTCTCACCTTTTTCCATTATAATATGCACGCCAAACCTAGATTAAAAGGAGTAAATATATAATTTAAACTGAGTCAATAAATGTGTGTAGCACGAAAGCCTTTCCTTGAATCGCAACTTATGAGTCGGCAGGAGTCAATAATTTTGAATTGTTGTTGACCGTCAAAAAACATGCATTTAAGTTGAAGCAAATTAATCATGTAAGCTTTATTGCCAAGCAGAAAATTTTATGTGATTCATGAATATATTTTCCGTGTGAATTACTTTTTGGAATTTTAAGACTTTTGTTTTAGAGGTTGAAAAAATCACAGTTTAAGTCAATATATTTTCAGTTTGACAAAATAACACCAATTAAAATTAAAAAGTAGATAGTAAATCACATCCATGGTTTCATTAGCTTTAAAATGAGATATTTTGCAGATTTTATCTTAATAAACAATGCTGTAATATGCTTCAACCGTTAACATTACTGTTATGGGCAAAAATTCCAAGATGTAAGCAGGTGATCCTGCCGACTCTTAAAATTTTAACAGCAATTCAATCATTCAGCTGATCTTAATGTAAACAAACAATGATACCATGGGAACTTTAAAGTTCACTGGAACAGAGCGCAGGGAACTTTTCAGCATGCAAGACCTTATGACATCTACTCAATGAGATATTTCCAATGAGCCATAAACTCACTAAATCAGTTGAGAAACCACGGAGGAGTTTTGCCGACAAAATCGTGCTTGTTTATTTTATATATAGATATGTTATAGCGAATTTCCCTATAGGGAATAAGCTATTACCGTAGTACTCATGGTAAGACCTGGACCCGGGACCGATTTACTTTTTCGTTTTGAGGTCCCTAGAGGCCAAAAACACCATCCGTTCAAATTCATATATATAGCCTATATATTTATATATGTGTCCGTTAGCGCAAAAACTCGAGCAAAAATCGTCCGATTTTGATAAAATTTGGTACAAACGTGTAAACCTACGTTTATTCGAACGAGTTCGCGAACCAGCATGATCGGACTATGGAAACAGGGGTTTAAGGGGGGTTTTATGGGGGTAAAAATTGGTTTTTCCCGTTTTGACCCTAAAAAGTTAAAATTTAGCATCTTCTTTCCAAACTATTTTGTAGAGCTTAAAAAACAAATAATTTGGTATATTGAAGTGTGGTTATGCTAAAAGTTATGGAGAAAATTCCAAAAAACTGTAAATTTAAAATTCTCATGTTAGTCTTATGGACAAGAAGTAAACTAGCAAACTGTTGTATTTTGCTTGTTTATGAACATATTTTGATCAAATTTGGAAAATGCACCAATGATATAAACAATTAACATTTTACAAAAAAAAACACCCCTTTTTGTCCTCCCTGTTGCAGCAATCCTAAGTACTTATTAAACTAATGTTATTTAAATAGGGAATAAATGTGATATTTTAAGGAGACATTTGAGTGTAAATCCAATCAGGCAAATGGAAATTTGCTTAGTCTGCAGGTTTGCTGCGGCGGGGGTATTTGATAGTAATTTCAATTACTGTAACTTTTGTTTATTTTTGTCTTGTCTAAATAAAATTGTAAATACACTCCTTTTATTTAGTCTCACATTATTTTCTACAACTGTATTGACATTATTCTTGTACAGTATATTGTGTAGAGAAGGAACAAAGGATAATTTGATTATTGTAATAATCAAAAGTTAATTATTTGTAATTTTTCCAAGTGTGCTAACAAAGTTTGCAGCAAATATTTGTTATGTTTATTGAAAACTTTCAGTTTGCAATACCTAGTTAATTACTGTAATTGCAAACTTTCCATTTGCAGAAAACTTGCTGAAAGTTGTGTCAACTACAAGTTTGCAGAAAACTTGCTGAAAGTTGCATCAAATACAAGTTTGCAGCAAACTTATATAAGTTGTTACAAAGTTATTTTGTTTGCAAAAAACAACTTTTCTGCAAACCTTATTAATTATTGCTGCAAACCTTTTTGCTATCTGGGTATATACTATTCAATTTGTAGACCAATAGATCTTTTTGTTTTTACCTATTAAAGTCCTCTTCTCGGGTAAATCTTCAATCCAGTCAAAAACTGAAAATGAAATGAAATGTATTTCACAATATTAATAAAAGTTACAAAAAAATTTGGTATGGTGGCAACAAATACTGGATAATTAAAAATTATATCTAGGCAATATTGTTGCCCTATGTATTGAAATCACACTATAAATACAGGGTGGCCTAAAAAGTTACTCATCTAAACTGCTGATTTAACTTAACCCATACAGGCAGGGTTTTTTTTTAATGTGGCGCCATACAAGCAAATCATTTTTTTCATGTATGTCAATGGATTTTTCTATATTAGATATTTTAGATGATGATGGGAACTGTTTTAATGGACATCACTCCACAACAATGTTCAGGAGTTCAGGAATAGTTGAAAGCATGCAAAGATAAATGGAATATGCAATAAACAATAGTGGAATCATGTAGAGCACTTAGTTTTAAGATAGAGTAAGTTTGTACAGCTAATAAATAATAATTATTTGCCGTGAAAAGAAGAGTAATTTTTTTTTTTTAAGTACACCCTGTAGTTTGAAAGTATGTTTAATGGTATGGGATTAGTGACTGTTTCAAATTTAAAGTCGAGTGTAGTGGTAAGTATGTAAACCTTACCCCAGACTTGGCAGCTCCCCTCCTCAGCAATCAGTCATCTCTGGATTTTAAAATATCAGGAACAGTAAAAATGTTTTTCTTTACACGCAATATGAAAATGAAAGCAGTATCCTAATATGTCTTGCCTGGTGGAGGGTCAAGTGCACGCATGCATGTATCCATGCAGCCATTGAAGCAGCACAGGTAGGTGTGGTTGTGACGAGAGTGACAGTCTATGTTGCCGCTGCAGGGGATGGCATTGCACGCAGAGTGTTGTAGCGGGGACACTGGAGGTGGACATAGCGAGGACCACGGGACCACCATCTTGTGGTCCTCCCCCATCGACAATCCATCTACCTCCTCCTGTTGCAACGAAATTGGATTATATTTATAAGCCCCCTAACTGTTTTAAACAATAATAAATGTGTGTGTGCGTGTATCTGCAGCTCTGTACACATCCACACATACAGACATTATTTATTTCAAAAAACTCTTTTTAGCGAATTTCCCATTTAGGGAATAAGCTATTGCCGTGGGTCTCATTGTAAGACCTAGACCCGGGACTTATTTACTTTTTCGTTTTGAGGTCCCCAGAGACCAAAAACACCATCCGTTCAAATTCATATATATATAATATATGTGTGTCCTTTAGCGCGATAACTCGAGCAGAAATGATCCGATTTTGATGAAATTTGGTACAAACATGTAAACCTACTTTTATTCAAACAAGTTCGCAAACGAGCATAATCGGTCTATGGTAACGGGGGTTAATGGGTGGGGGGGGGGAGTTTATGGGGTAAAAATTGATTTTTCCCATTTTTGACCCTAAAAACACAAAATTTCATAAACCATTTTGTAGAGCTTAAAAAAATAAATAATTTTGTATGTTGAAGCGTTGTTGTGTGCCTAGATAGGTGCGTAGATAGGTAGGTTGTTGGTTGCGGAGATAGGTGGTTAAAAAAATTTTCAATTAAATAAAAATCCAATGTTATTCTTATGGAGAATAAATAAACTGTTGTAGTTTGTTTGTTTATGGATATATTTCAATCAAATTTGGCTATTTTGTTTATTTCATACTAAGCTATCAACATTTCAATAAAAAAACACACCTCAATATCTTCCTTTTAACAGCAAACCTAAGTAATTTGATAAGTACTCACTTAAATTAATGTTATTTAAATAGGAAATAAATCTGACAATTTTTAGGGAATATTTTTGTAGAAATCCAACCGGGTAAATGGAAATTCGCTTAGTCTGCAGGTTTGCTGTGGCGGGGGTATTTTGGGTCCAGGTGGACCCAAAACATATGTCTCCACCCTAAACCCTACCTCAATGATTTTGACAAAAACAATAGTGTATTCTCTACTCTATACAGTGTGATCAACTCAAGGAGGCCACCATTGGGATATCGGAAACGGTCAGAATTAGAGAAAACTTTATATGGGGGACTTTCCTTTATTTAGTTTTACGAAATTCAGCCGCCATTTTCCAATATGGTGGCCAACTTTGAAATTTCTTATGGAATAGGCATACCCTATATTTTATTATGTTTTTGGGTAGAACATGTATTTTAAAAACTTTTTTATTCTTGGCATTTTTTCTATAAAACTGTGACTCGTTTAGGAGTTATTCGATACATTCCAAAAAGACCATAAAATACATCAAAAATATTAATTCTACTTTTTCAAAAATGGTAGCAAACTTGAAAAGTGGAAAACTGTAGTTTAAGGTAATGTTTGGAGTGTAGATGCAATTTTAAGACTTATTTACTCTTCAAATTTTTCACTCTAAACTTACTCGTTTAGGGGCTAGATGATGCAAAATGTACACCGGAACGGTACTTGATGAGTTTAAATGAGTGTTTGCATGTTTAAATTTGACAGCGGACATGTTAGTGCTACAGTAGTATCATCGTTGGGCAAAGTTCCAGCTGGTTATCACATAATGTGACTAGCAGAGGCTAATGTAAAACACTGCCTGAATGTTCTAATTTGCGTTTGTTTATTCAACAAGCATCTGAGTGTGCCAAATGCATTAGAGGCCTCACTTGGCCCCTTGGCAGGCTTTGTAACCCCATTCCAGGACATGGTTCATGAATCTTGTAAATTTGAAATCCTACTTAATGATATTTAACCGTGGAACATAAAAAAATTATAAGGTTGTTCCTACGGTGTACCGAACAATGGATGGGGGGGGGGGGTCAGCCACTTCCATTAAGCTATTTTCTTAGGTCTCATGGTAAGACCTGGACCAAGTACCTATTTATTTTTTATTTTTAAGTCCCCAAAATCACCCTCCATTGAGATTTATACATACGTGTCTGTTAGTGTGATAACTCGAGCAAAACTGATCCGATATTTCCGGTACAAACGTGTAAACTGGCTATTCAAACGAGTTTGCAAACTAGCACGATCAGACTTCGACCCAAAACATAACATTTCTCCATTTCTTTTTATGCCTAAACCATTTTGTAGAGCTTATAAAAGAAAATAATTTATTATATCGAAGGTTTGTTTTATACCATTGGAGGCGTAGCCGTTTGTACAAGCTAGTGATTGTCTAAATGTTACAGCTTTTATAAATAGTTGGAATCTCTATACGCCTTTAGAACCTATAACGAGATTTTAATGCTCTTTTAGAACTAGAAGTTATAAACAGAAATTGTACAATTTATACTCATTACCTAGCTAGGCTTATATTTAACTACTACTATTTTTATTACTATTACTAGTTTTGTGTATTACGGTACTTAAGTAAATACGCACAAAACACTAACCAATTGCAAAAGACCAAAGACCGAAAGTGAATTCCGCAGACAAACTGTTTCAAGCTGAAAAACGCGCGTCAGTCGATTTAAATCGGGAGGTTTATACTTAACGAATGCGTCTATTGTTGTCAGCAGGAAGTAGCACTAGCACAGGAATGATGAACTACAGTAATGTATCGTTCTGTATATTTAGCCGCTTTGTGCTGTTGTAAACATTGACGGCGAGCAGATAGTGAACACGTTGTTAGCCCAGCCACTTATCTGATTGTAACCTCTTTCTGATTAAATCAACTAACGTACAACAAAGTTTGGTTGGGTTATTCTTCCGTTACATAAATAAATACCCCCGCCGCAACCAACCTGCAGACTTAGCGAATTTCCATTTACCCGGCTGGATTTCTACTAAAATATTCCCTAAAAATTGTTAGATTTATTTCCTATTTAAATAACATTAATTTTAGTGAGTACTTAGGTTTGCTGTTACAAGGAAGATATTGAGGTGTGTTTTTTATTGAAATGTTGATAGCTTAGTATGAAATAAACAAAATTGCAAAATTTGATTAAAATATATCCATAAACAAGCACACTACAACAGTGTATTTATTGTCCATAAGAATAACATGGGATTTTTAAATTTACGATTTCTTTAACTATCTCCGTAACCGTTGGGCATACACAACAACGCTTCAATATACAAAATTATTTCTTTTTTAAGCTTGTAATGTTTCAATTTAACTTACCGGTAACCGTTTTAGGCTATGTTATGCCTAGGCTAGGTTAGGTTTTTGTTAGATCAATTGTAATAAAAGTAGGCCTATCTCGCATTTTTCATAGTTTAAATATTTCTTAATGTTTATTAAATTACTAATGTAATAATGTTTCTAATAGTTTGTTTTGTAAATAGGTGTAACCAATAATATTTCTACCCAATTACCGTACCTAGGTTAGCTTACCCACTTACCGTATTTAGGTTAGGTTATCCATTGAAAATATTTCAGCAACACAATTACAGTTATAAATATACATTACTATTTTATTTCACACACAAAGGGATAAACATGTAAATATAACAACTAACTAAATAATTAAAACATATTTATTTATTACATTTGTTTGAATGTTTGTTTACTAGTTTACAATAGCTTCTCTGACAGCTCGAGCTCCAGCCGACGGCAGCTGATGGATCAACGACGATCAAGCGGGCAGCGATGACGTCAGGCTGCCGGAAAAGGAAGATAACTTTTGGTGGAAACATCTGGGTTTAAAGTTCTAGAACATTCCATGGTCTCCATAGCTACCAAATCGGGTATAAATACAGCAGTCCACGGGCCAGTCTTCAGTACACTTCACGAGTTGACAGTCAGCGCTGCGGGTTTAAACCATTTGCCAGGCGCAAATAAAACAATAATCAATAGTAATCAAATTTGTATTTGTAAAAGAAAATAAAAACAAGGAATAAGGTCAGTCCCAATTGTGTACTCATTTGAAATATTAATAAGGTAATTTGAATTAGACAAGTAAGTAGGATAGAAATTAGAATAGGCCTACACACAAAGCATTTGTCAGGCCCCGGCAGACCGCTGGTGCTGCGGCTTTAACACTCAACACTCACGCACATTCGGTAGTTGTCTGGCACCTTTTTTAAAGAGTGCTGCGACCGAAATAACACTTACAAGTAGTGGCACTAACAATTTAACTCCATACAAAGCATTTGTCAGGCCCCGGCTGACCGCTGGTGCTGCGGCTTAACACTAAACAAGCACGCATATTTGGTAGTTGTCTGGCACCTTATTTTAAGAGTGCTGCGACCAAATAACACTTACACATAGTGGCTCTGTATAACTTAACATTATATCTCACATTTCACACATTCTGCAGTTAGGATAAAATCAGTCACGTGGCAAAGAACCCATCCCTGAGAAACTTTGATAAAAATACAAAATAAAATAAATACAATTAAATGAAATTCAGATTTAAGTCATTGAGACGTTACAAATTGGCACCCAACTAGGTGGCTTGATTTTATCACGGTTATAGATTATTTTAATGCAGAGGTATAATTTACGAAAATATATAACACCTACACTTAGAGCACAAGAAGCACACTTAAATATGAGCCGGCAATTAGACGAAATCAATATGGAAGAATTATTAAACCCTAATAATGACAATCCCGGAGATGACTTATACAGTATCGACAATCAAAATTTAGCGTCTGGCGACAATCTAAATCATAGTAACGTAACAAGTCCCAGTAGAACACAGCACACAAACATGGACCAAACAATAATTAGGCCTATATTACAGACACTTGAAGAGTTTAAAGAACAAGTATTGTCACAATTTAAACAAACTAAACAAGAAATAGAAAAAGTTCGGAAGGATCTGACCATCGAAATAAGACAAATCGAATCCAAATTTGATACAAAAATAACAGAATTAAGGGAAGAAGTACACAACCATATTGAGGAAAGAATCGCAATGATTCAAGAGAATCAGGAAAGAATCAATAAGGAATTTGAGGCAAAGTTAAAAGCTGGGAATAGTGGGAAACCAGTAGGCCTACATATCACATGTCCTAGCACCATAACTAAAG